GTCCGATACCTGTAATATATATAGAAGTGGAAAATATAATGGAATCCTTGAGCCTTTTAGGTCAAAGTTTTGAAGACACTTTGCGCATGTTTGGTGGAGGAGGTGGGGTCTCTCCACTTCCTTTTCCTCCATTTCCCTCCACTTTCCCCATCTCCACCATTCATTAATTTTTTTATTTAAAAAAATTGTTTAATAAAAAAATTTGAATGGTGATGATGGGAGAAGTGGAGGGAAAGGGATGAAAAAAAAAGGAAGAGACCCCTAGTCCGTTTGGTGGATAACAACATTCCAAACACATTCACAACTCCAGTTGGATCAAACAAATCACTTGAATTCGTTTAACCAAAAAAAAAAAAAACAGATCACTTTAATACATGTAATTAATTTGATTTGATGTAACATAGGGCTACTGTTGGCCAAAAGAAGTGCATGTAAGGGAGGGCTCGATGTAGCATTTTAAGGATAAAGTTAAACAAAAAACAAAAAACAAAACAAAAAAAAATTGACAGTTCAATTAAAACCTTGGTGTTTGTATCACACATATAAGATTTGGACATATATATAAAGAAAATTATTAGAGCTAGATATCAGTTAAAAGGATAGAATAGATAATTTTAATTTTTAAATCCTATATATGAAGAGGGTTACAAAAATAAAAAAGGAAACTCTAAATGAAATTGTTAAAAGGGACTTGTTGGTCAATAATACATTCAGAGATTTTTGGAGTATAATAGCATTATGTAATTAATACAACCGAACCCTATAGTTTTAACTTTATTAAAACTTAGTTTTTAAATTTTAATTAAATACAATTTAATTCATATAGTTATAGATATTTCTAAGTTTTAGAAATAACTTTAAGTAGCATTTGGAATGATGTATTTAAATTTGAATTTTAGATCCAAAGTATCACATTAAAAAATAGGTAATGAAAATTCTTTGTCCTAATAGTGTAAAAAATTTTAAGGATAAGAGAGAGACGGGTAGTTGAAATTTAAAGTAGAAACAAATTATTGAAAGTGATGAGCTTACTTTTATTCTTTTATTTGTCAGAGACAAGAATAAGGGATGAGGGAAGGAACAAAAATTACAAAGACATTAATAGTGAAAACATGGGAAAAGAAAACCAACAAGAGTTAAGGTAGCTAAAATTTTCAAGTTGGATCAATGATTTGTTACTCTCTAATTTAAGAACCCTTTCCTGTAAATTTAATTATGTCTTTTTTAGTTTTTTTTTATTTTTCAATAATGTATACTCCCTCCAGTCCTATTTATAAGTCATTTATATCAACTTTATCAATATTAATATAACAAAAGTATAAGGAATAAAAGTACATGAAATTTCAAATCTAGCCCTCAAGTAAAAAAGTAAAAAGTAAATAAATAATATAATATTATTTTTTTGTCTTTCTTTCTCTTACTTTTCAAGGATAGTTTAAAAATTTTAATTTAAAACAAAGTAATTTCATCAACTAATGACTTATAAAGTAAATTAAATTATGATTCTAGAAGGTGATTAATATATAAGACCGGAGAAGTAACTCTTTAGTAGCTGGACCCTTTATCTAGTGTATTGGGTCCTTTTATATTGTGCTTCTTTTTATTTTATTAATAATATTTATTGTACTTCAAAAAAAATAACGAGGGTTAAAGGGAATTAATTTGAAGTTACATAGAAGTATAATAAAACCTGAATTTAGATATGAATTAAATCTTAATTTGGATGTGAATCAAATCAAAATTCATAGACTTTTATGTATGTAAGTAGATTATTTATTTTAAATTCAAATCCTCATCCAAGCACATCATTAATTCTTGTAATTTTGTCTTCTAAAATATAAGTATCAAAAATTTTTAATGATTGAAATTATAAAAATTGAATTGCACCTATTAAAAGTTCATGAATTAAGTTTTTAATCAAGGTAAATTATAGCGATTGCATTGGCATGAGTCAAAATTCTTGAACTAAATTTAATTTAAAATTATAAAAATTAAATGATTAATTTTGTTTATAGAAAAGTAAATGATTTTTTTCGCCATAATGGTTTTTTTTTTTTTTCAAACAATTCGCCGTGACGGAGATCATTACATCGTTGTCATGCATCATTCACGGATGAAGAATTTTAAGAACAACCATGCTGACTATGTCATAATCTTTTTTTTTTTTTTTGGAAAATCACACTTTATGCCCTAAAAATAGAAAAATCACACTTTAAACCCAATATATTCTGATATTGCACCATAGTTTCAAGGGTCCTTGTTATAATTTTTTTGGGAGTGAAAGTACAAATTCATCTTTCTGTGATTTGAAAACTCAACCCATGCAAAACCCTCATCTATGAAACACAACACAATATTTATGGATACATAACATGATGTTCATGAATTTTAAACATAATATCTATGTGTATTCAATTGATTTGTAGGTTAAAATATACAAGTCAAACAAAACATGTACAACACAATTTTCATGGATGCACAATATAATGTTCATAAATTTTCAATACAATATCCACGTGTGTCCACTTGATCTATAGATTAATTAAAATATATAAGTCACGTAGAGCATGTACAACACAATGTCCATGAATGCACAACACGATATTCATAAATTTTCAATATAAAGTCCATGTGCGTCTAATTGATCTATAGGTTAATTAAAATATATAAGTCATGCAAAGTATGACTAACACAATATTTATGGATGCACAACGCAATATTCATGAATTCTTAATATAATATCCATGCGTGCCCAGTTGATCTATATATTAATTAAAATATACCAATCATATAGAGCATATATAATACAATATCTATAGGTGTATGATATGATATTCATGAATTTTCAACACAATGTTATGTGTGTCCCCACACGAACATTCAGTTGAGAATGCATAAACATTGTGTTATGTATTTATAGACATAGTATTGTATATTGTTTGTATCACTTGTATATTTTATTAAACCTACTAATTAATTAGACACGCATGGATATTATGTTGAGAATTTATAAATATTGTATTATGCACTCATAGATATTGTATTATATATTATTTAACTTTTCAAATCACATAAGGGCAAAATTGTACTTTCACTTCCAAAAAAATTATAATAAAGGCCCTTGAGCTTGTAGTATAATATTAGAATGTATTGGGCTTGAAGTATTTTTTTTTTTCAAGGCTCTTACTATGATTCCCCCCATTTTTCTTTTGGCCAAACTATATCATAATCCATTAAAACTTAAAAGTAACATGATGTGCATATAACATTGAATATTTTCAAATAAAAAAATAAAAACATAATTTTAAATTTTTATACTTTAATTATGTTTTATTATTGGTTACTGTACTCTTTTTTGGTGTTTTTAGCCATTGTACTTTTATTTTTTATTATTTTAAATTTCTCAAAAGTCTCTATACTTTATTTATGGAGAGATCTAAAATAATAAAAAATAAAAATACAAGAATCAAAAATACTAAAAAAAATATAAGAACTAATAGCAAAACGAAAGTAAAGTATAGGGATCTAAAGTTATATTTTTTAATAAAAAATATCATAAAAAGCATGCCTCCATTGTTTCTTAGTTTTTAGTTTTGATTGGTTCGTGTATACATTTTTTATGTGTAATAACATGATATTCAATATTATTATGTTAGATTTGACTGGTACAATTATAATCAATTAAAAGTAACATACGATGTGTATATTTTCTTTGATTGTTTTCAATGTGATTCATATATTTTAAATTTTTTATTTCTATATTTTAATTAAAATTAAATTATGTTTATACTTAATATAACATTAATATTATTTTGTATATTGCATTAGTAAAAAAAATGTTTTAAGTAAGACTCAAAGGTAAATGAGTAAATTACCTCAAGAACTTTAAATCTACCAGAACCATAGATCCTGAACTAATTTATTGTGCAAATTATTATTTTTAACTTTTAAAAATGATGCAATTTAATCTCTGTTGTTAACAAAAGTTAACTTTGACTATTATTTGATCATAATTAACAAAAAGGGACCTCAAAAATTATAGAAAAAGACTAAATGTTTTGTTTGGTTATTTTCTATAATTTTTTAGTTTATTATCTGTACTTTTTATAATTTTTGAGATTTTTTTGTCAATTTTTGATCAACAATTGAAGTTAAATTTTATTAATAGGAGGGGCTATATTTTATCATTTTTCAAAGTTGAAGAAATAGTTTCACAATAAACAAATCTAAAGTTTATAATGTTATTAAACCTAAAATTTGGGGGTGTGATTTGCTCATTTACCCTTTTAAATAATATATTATATTAGTTAACATTTAGAAAATTATTGTTTCAATTCATTATATAACTAATTATTTAAAACATAGTAATAAGTTTTATAAAGTGAATATCTTGGAAAATTCAGTGATAATTTTAATTTATAAATATTGTTATGATGTTTTTAAAAAAATTCAATAAAATAGTTTAACACATGGAAAGAAAAATCTAAATATATTTAGATGCTTACATGTAAATTTCTTCCGTATGATATAAGCTAATGAATCATTATCAGTTTATCACGCCTTTTTTTACTCCTTTAAACGTTGGCGTATTTCAGAATCCACAGCATCCCATTCCTTCCTTATCAACGAGGAAAAAGAATTTATTGACTGCAATTTAAATCTTTTAAAATTAATTTTCATGAATTTCCTTTTTAAGAATATTGATTGGATTCCAATCTATAAATAAACGCAAATTTTGAAGGTTTCCTGAACCGAAACTGATGATAGTGACTGATTTATCAAACCGTTTCATGTAGCCGGGCCGGTTCTCTCTTTAGGCCATGCGTGCAAATTAAAGTCCGATTTCAAAATCAGGACTCATTTTGAGAGACACCGAGTCAACCGTAAAGTCAACGAAGCCACTACACCACCATCTATCTAATCATATGGTATATCTTCCATGATCATGTATTCTTCTCTGAATTGCAATTCCACAGCTCTACCACCACTCTTCGCCCGCCATGTCTTCACCGTCTCCGACACCTCAAGACTCCCCATTAGGTGATTTGTCTGGGCCGTCACCGTCACCGTCACCGTCGCTGCTGCTGCCGCCACCCCCACCTTCATTGTTACCATCTCCCCCGCCGTTGCCACCTCCCCTGCCTTCACCGCCACCCCCGCCATCACCGCCACTGTTTCCCCAGTCTTCACTGTCTATACAGTCACCGTCGCCTGAGAATTCAGGGTCGTCGCAACTGATCCTAGGGGTGGTGATTGGTTCGGTCCTGACGTTGGGGCTTTTCGTCATAATGTTTATATGGAGAAAGAGGAGAAGCATGAGATTATTGAGACCCTGTTGGTTGATCAGCAATAACCCTCCACTATCGCACCAACGCTTTGGTATACCATTTCTGCTTTTCTTTCTTCATTCTAACAAATTAAACAAAATGGATCCTTCTTATATTTAAAAAGAGTGTAGACTTGAATTGAATTGATGGGTGAGGGAGAGGCATATATACAGTGGCCCATTGATGCCACGTTCTGCTAGCAGCTGAAGAAGATGCTACGTCTCATTCCATTGCCATAGGACTGACACCAACAAGCACGTTTACATATGAAGAATTAGAAAGGGCTACAGATGGATTCTCGGAGTCAAATTTTTTGGGCCAAGGTGGATTTGGCACAGTCCATAAAGGAGTCCTGCCTAATGATAATCAAAATGTTGCCATTAAGCAGCTCAAGTCTGGAAGCGAACAAGGAGTGCGAGAGTTCCAGACTGAAGTCCAGGTCATCAGCAGAGCTCATCACAGACATCTTGTTTCCCTTGTCGGCTACTGCATTGCTGAATCTCACCGGACTTTGATGCTCGTTTATGAGTTTGTCCCCAATAAAACCCTGGACTTCCACCTGCACGGTATGATTTATTAGATCAGAGTCTTGTTTATATAAAATCATTGTTAAGATACTAGATAGATCTATATATGCAAAATGATTCATCAGGAAATTGCACTACAGCTATGGACTGGACGACAAGGATGAAGATTGCCATTGGCTCTGCCAAAGGATTGGCATATTTGCATGAAGACTGTGAGTTTTACCTGATATATAAGTAAACCGTCCAGCGTAGATCGATATCTCGATTAGTTCATGTCAAATCCAAAATTTTAACACTTTTCTTTTGCAACTAGAAGCGATATGGTTCAGGTGAAAAGGGAATTGAAGCCCATAAATAAAATTCACAAATTAATCGTTAGGTTTCTGGTCATTTGATAAGTCTAGAATTTTTTATGAAATTTGAAAATTCATAGCTAAATCTAAAAATTTGTATGTGGATCCTCTAAAATTCTCTTGAAATCTCTTGAAGAGTTGAAGTCCATTAAATGATAAAAATACATTTTAAACCCCTTTTTCAGTCTCAAATAGCACAATTTATTTATTTTTTCAAAGTTGCTCTGCTTCTCTTATAGAATCTGTGATATAAATGAAAAAATCCATAACTCAAAATTTAGATATCCAAAAGATTTGTTTTAAGACTTTTAGACCCAAAATTTGAGATGTTACAGTTCCTTTTTTACTCTACGAATTTTTACTTTTTAGGTCAACCCAAAATCATACATCGGGACATCAAAGCAGCCAACATTCTTCTTGATAATAATTTTGAGCCAAAGGTAGGCATAAACTTATACATGTAATTATGTCCTAAATAGATATGTATTAGAACTTTTTGAATGAAATGTTTTTCCTTCACCAAAGATTCCATTCAAATACTACATAGCAAATTGAAAAGTTACTGGACTACGTTCATCTTCCCACAGGGGCACCTAAATATCAATATAATATACATACACACACACACACACATATGAAGAAATAATGTATGGAATCTATTAATATCAGGTTGCAGATTTTGGACTTGCCAAATTTTCATTAGACTCTGATACCCAGATCAACTCTACTCGAGTAGTGGGAACCATTGGGTAAGTCTCATTTGTTCTCTCGTGAGATTCTCTTTTGAATGATCTCTCAATGAAGTTCACACACACACACATATATATATATATGTTGTATGTTTTCTTTGAATACAGATATTTGGCGCCAGAATATGCAGCTAGCGGGATTCTCACCGATAAGTCAGATGTCTTCTCCTTCGGAGTCGTGCTTCTGGAGTTGATCACAGGACGAAAACCTGCTCGTAAAACTTTGACAGATGACAATATGGTCGAATGGGTTTGTATTAGTTCTTACATTATTATCTCAGATTATATATAACTTAGTTTCAAAATAGTAAGTGGTAAAATTTTATCATCAGAAATACTGCACTGATGTATATATATACATGTTATTACGAATGAAAATGACAGAGACCATTACTGTCCGAAGCTATGGAAAATAGGAACTTTGAGGGAATAGCTGATGCGAGGTTGCAGAATAATTACAACTTTGCTGAGATGTTTCGAATAGTTTCTTGTGCTGCAAATTGCGTCTGTTCTTCACCTTGTCGTCGTCCTCGAATGAGCCAGGTTTGTGGACCCGCTGGGAAAACTAAAAATGTGTTCTTAAGAGTTCTCAAATCCAGAATTGGGCACGCTTTCTTTCTTTCTTTTTGAATATTTTAAAATCACAGATGATCAGTCAGATGATTTATGTTCTAGCATGGGGAAGCTATCCCAATAAATTTTTTGGTACAACAATAGTGATTAAAATGTTAAATAATAAATGGCAATGCCAATGGATTATATACCCATTCATTTTAAAGCTTATAAAGAACTTGTTAAATTTTAAAGATTAAATACTTTATCTATTTATGATTCAAAATTTATGAAAAGTAGTACTTTGCTTAATTTAACCTTAGTTTGAAATAGTGAATCCGGTAAAGGTTAATAAATTTAATGACATAATTAAAGCAGGTAGTTCAAGCTTTGGTAGGAAATATTTGTCTGGACGATCCAAAGGAAGAGACCAATCGGAGGAGTCAGAGGAACGGGTCATCACAAGCTGAAGGATATGTATATTGCAACGGCAGTGACGACTCTGATCAATTTCAATCTGCATCGAGCAATTGCTTCAAATCACATTGAATTCGTATTAGTTTTATAGTACATGATGCTAAATGATTTGATTAAAAGAAACAATATTGGGAAGGTTATTAATCTTGAGATTGTACATGTTTGTATAATAAACATCTTGGAGTATAATTCACACACACACACACACACACACACACATTCTTGGTAGATTTTGCAGGTCCGTAGTACAATTTGGGGTTGCTTGATTATTTGGATCATCTAAATTAATTATTATATATATATATATATATTTAATATTTTATCAAGACAATTTAATTAATTCTCTTGAATTATTTTAATTCAAAATGATTGTAGGCTGAATAATCCTTGGAAACTGACGTTTGGCTAACAAACCAAAATTTCTGTAATAATAGAAAGTGACAGCGCTTTAAAAAAAAAAAAAAGCGTCACGTTTTTTAGGCATGGCAAGAGTCTGTGATATCTAATATATCGAAAACACTTAAAAAACAGCACTTCTTGTCTTCTTCAAATAAGCGACACCGCACCATTGTTCCCCCCCCCCCCCTCAACCCCCTTAAAAAAAAAAATTATATGATAGCACTTGTTTCAAAAAGCACGACCATATCTTTTTTGATAAAATAAAGGAAAAACTAATCTATGAGACTTATAATTTTAATAGATTTTGAAGGAGGTCCCTCTAATTTTTTTCACTAGATCTTCATGGTTTATACAATTGAAGGCTTTCGTTCCTCTATTAATCAATAATGCTCCTAAAAGTGTTCACATGTTCGGTACCGAAACAATCAAATCAGCTACCAAAGCTTGATATTTATTTGATTTTTTCTCTAATCGATTTGGTTTGATTTTGAAATAATTTGGTTTAAATTTGGTTTAGGTTTGAATTCTTTTGAAATACTTTTTATAATCAATATATGTATATATTTATTAATAAATTTTAACTATTAATTTCTATATCAATAAAAAAATTTTGAGGACAAGAATATTTTAACAGTTAGGGTTAAAAAAATATATTTGCTCTTAAAGTTTCTTGTTAAATACAATTGATATCCTAAATTTTGATTGGAGCAATATTACCCTTAAAATTTTTAAAAATAATGCAATTTTGCCCTATATATAGCAATGTTTGATTAATGTTGACCCTTAATTGAAAATTCTAACAAGACTTACAGTGCAATTTTGCATTAGAAGTTTTTTTGAAGGAGAATTAGTATCTTAAACTTTCTATTAGCTTAATATGTTTGGGTTCTTAATGTTAAAATGAAAAATTAATCATTTTTGTTAATTTTTATTCAATTGTAACTCAATCACTACTAAACTTTGACTTCTTATAACTCAATCTTTATAACTTTAACTCGATTACAACTCAATTTTTAAATTTTAACTTACTGCAACTTAGTCTCTACTATTTTAGCCATTTAAATATTAGTTCTTAAATCTTGAAAATTAATTTATAATGATACTTAGGGACTAATTTTCAATTACTAAAACTTTTTATTTGATAAATATTACAAGGATTTATTAATTATTAACATTTCTATTTTTATTTTCTAAAATATAATGACTAATATTTAAAATGGTTAAAATTATATATAAAAATTTAGTTGTACCGAATCAAAGTTCAAGGACTAAGTTATAACTGGGTTAAAACTTTAAAGACTAAGTTACAATAAGTCAAAATTCAAGAATTGAGTTATGACAAAGCTAAAATTATAGAAATCAAATAATTAATTTTTTTATATTAAAATTAAAAGAAATATCTAACAACCATTATCAATTTCAAACATAATTTGTATTTTTAGATTTTTTACTACATGCCTTCTTTGAAGTTGTTTGAGTGCAAAACCAACTTTATCCCAAGTGCTCCATGAACTTTCCATTTGGAGCAAAGTCCAAAGTAAACCTTATTTTGTCCATTTGCAAGTCCAAACATGTGTTCATGGGAACATATAGACTTGTAGAGTTGGAAATAAGGGTGAGCATGAACGACCATCCATTTAAACTCATTTTTATAAGAGTCTAAGCTTTAAAAAAATGACACTTTTAAAGAAAACTGGGCTTTGAAGTCCAACCCTAATAAACCTTTAAAAAATGAATTAGGTCAATCTTTTTAGGCTTTTTTTTTACTTCTAAAAAATATTTTTTATTTTTAAATTAAATTTAAACTTTAAAATGTATGTTTATACTTTAAAATTAAACTTTTTATTATTTATTTAATTTTTTAATATTATAATTTATATTTTAAAAAGAAAAACGTATATAACTTTTAATTTTTTATATTTACACAAGTCACTCACTTGGTTTCTTACGTTTATTTTTTATCAATTTACTCCTTTTTATTTCTTAAAAATATTGACATCATCCTTAATCTTTACAAAAAAGTTAACACCTATACATTACGATGATGTGACTAACGAAATTGCGACATGACAGTCATGTAAGTTAAATAAAAAGGGCAAGATATTGCTGACATAGATAAATAATAAAAGAAAACATATGAAGAATTAAGAAATTAATTATTCGAACATTTTTTCCAAAGGAAAAAAAAAAAAAAACTCCAAACGAAACGCAGCGTCCTCCTCTCTTCAATCAGTCTATTACTCTGCTATTCTTTTTGCCTTTTAATTCCTTCTATTGGATTTCATCCGTCTCTCATCACTGCCTTACGATCGTGATTCACTTTTTCGTCGTACATCACTGTTTCATATCATCATATGAGATATGCTGATCGTATGCGAGTGCCGAGTTGTCTTTGAAGCCATTCGCCCTAATTGGGAAATAGAAGGGAATATTATAATATTCGAAATTATAAAATAAGAATATAAAAAAAGGTTGATGTGTATTCGTTTATCCATGTGCATATTTTCATATCAACAAAATAATTTACACATGGCTAATTTGTGTTTTTAAGCTTAGAGGATTAAAAAGATAACTAAAGCAAACATAAAGGATTGAATTAATAAAAATTAAATGTAAGGGACTAAATTGATAATTGATACAAAAGTAAAGAGCTAAAAGTTAGATTATTCCTTTAAAAAATATTTCATATTATTATAATTAAAAATTTTAATTTAAAAAGTCCAAAAAAGGTAAAGGGAGGGGGAGCTTATTGGCCTGGCCTTGATTATACCTTTAAATAATGCCCAGGCTTTAGAAATCAATCATTTTTGCAAAAAACCGAGTTTAAGAGCATGAGCTCATAAGAGTCGATCCCATAGAGACCAAACTTATGTAGAACAAGCCTGCCTGTCTCCTAGCTCTATAGACTAGCCTAGATTATGACTTATAGGTACTTAGCATAATTCATTTCAAAATCTCTTGTTGACTTTGCATTATAATGGTATTTGGGTCCTTTATCCAATTTGAAAATTGATAATCCAAAAACATTACATAAATATATAAAAAATTTAGGATATCAACTAATCCTTTATAAAATATTCAAAGCTAAAATTGTTTAACTCTCAAAATAATGATCAATGCTTGTCAAATGTTACTATAAGGCAAGTCTATATTTTTTTTTTTAAATTTCAAGGTAACAGTACACTAATTATATATTAGTTGTACTTAGTGGAAAACTTCTAAAGAAAAATTTCCTGGCCTTTAACCATAACAATTAATTAGCACATTTAACTGTTAAAAACTAATATATTATCCTTAAAATATGTGCCTAGAAATTAAAAAAATTATCAAAAACAATTATAGACAACATTTAGTTAATTTAGTCAATTGTAATAGATTTTTTATTAGTGATTTACAAATAACTAAATTAAGGAAAGAGAAAAAATTTAGAGAAATTTATCAAATATATAAAATAAATATAATAAGGTTTGGTTTGGTTTGATTCAAGTTTCAAGAAATAAAAAATTGAACCAAACCTTACCGATCAATTACCTTATTTATAATTTATTTTGATCAATTATGTTAGTTTAATTCATTCTGATTTGGTATAATCAGTTTCATTTTGAACACTCTTACTCCTAACAGTGTCGATGCATGCTAACATAGGATGACATGGAATTGAAAAGGCAACACACATGGACAAAATTTTTTCCAATCTCTCTCTCTCTCTCTCTCTCTCAAAATGCATTTTTGTGCAAGTACCTTGATAAGGAAATTTACATGAAGCAACCTCTTGGGTTCAAAGATCCGGTTCATTTTGACTATGTTTAATTTGCATACTTTAGCTAGGTGATAGATAAGGAACAAAGCCAACAATGATTGGTCCCCTTGATAACCAACATGTTGTTAATCACCCTATCCATCATTTACCTGAGAACTGAACTAGATGTTCTTCAATTCTGAGGTATGAACCCAACTTGATTTGGTAAAATTAGCTATTAGGATACCACACATTGCAACAAAATCAATGTTGCAATGAGGGTAAGGTATGCTTTTAGGTCGACTTCGCCATTAGGTCGAAGCTGACCTTAGTCCTAAGGGACTACCCCGAGTCAATAGAGTACTTGAAGGTAACACTGTTAGACTAGGTGACAGCTTTGAACTAATTATCCTTGACCCACCCCTTTATGGGATGTACGTAAGCAAGCTCTGAGAGCTTGGTTTAGGTTTTCTCATCTCCAGCAACTGTCTTGCTCATCTTGGGTTTGTAGCCACCAAATCTGATGCATCTTTTATTACCCTTCTAACTGATTCCTCTATTGTTTATGCATGTTTTAGTATATGTTGATGATATTTTAATCATTGTTGTGTCAAATGCTTCTGCTACTAATATAATTGTTACATTGCTCAACTTAGTCAATTTTTTTTTATGAACGATGTGCGAGACATTTTCATTTAAGAGTCCTTGACCATACTCAATAAAAAAGAATGCCCCTTAAACTCTAAAAATTCACTTTAGACCAAGGGTGTTGAAGTAAAATTAAAATACATAGTAAAATTACCTCTTTATCCCTCTTCCCCTCTGGTTCTCTACTGAAGTTGTTCATTTTCCTATATGTAGAGGTGGAACCAGAACACAAGGGTTGGGGGGCCAAATTTCAAAAAAAAATTTCATATATACTAATATTTTTTAA